TCATCGATCGATATCGATTTTATCGATTTTTCGCAAAATTTGAGCTACGGAGCAGAGATTTGGCACAATGGGGTAATTGAGCATGCTAATTACGAATGATATTCACAGGGCCCGGCGGAGCCGGGTTTACCAGTTAGTAACATTTATATGTCTAATGAACAAGCCTGTGTTTTTGAGCGCATGACTTATGCTTTCTAGATAAGTCTGCATAAAAATACTCAAGTCTGACTAACATATATATGCCCTTTAGAAGTTTCTCCTATGAATGTGACCTAACCTGAGATATTCAGTGTCGTTTTCGCGTAAAGTGTTCAAGTAATTCCCCAAATTCTCAAGAGAATCGAAGTCATCCAGCGCTATAAAGGAATCTTTTGGAAGGCCAGCGTCTAAAATTTTAGCTTTGTGAAGTGTTTGTGGTAAACTTGTTTTACACAATTTACCTTCATAAATCCGCCTTTTCATTACAACAGGCACAAGTAGTTGAGAGATTCGGTCAAAATATTTTTCCGTGACGTAATCAATGCAGTTGCTATTTTCAAATGCGATATAGAATCGATGAGTGGCTGAAATGCACAGTACGGGATCTCTAGATCAATTTGTATAAACTCAAGTAAATCTGGGAAGAAGCTTTCCTATTTGAGTATGAACGAGAAACAGACCTGTCAAAGAGTCGTCACTGCAGTCTGTTTTGCAGGAAACGCGCTTGGTGTTTAGTGACAATGCCTTTTCGCATTTTCCTCTGACAGTAATTTCAGTAAACTTTCCCAATTTTCTGAAATGCAAAATTACATAATTGCAAAGGATAAAAGCAGCAACGCGAAATCCAAAGACCTGATTATCTGTTCGCGTTTCGAAGGCGTGCGACAATTTGAAACAAATATCAGTGATCCTTTTTTCTTGCGTTCAACTGCAGTGATAATCTAAAATTGGTTCGTTTTGTAATTTAATTTTTATGTTATTCTTGCTTCCTAAATTTATTGAGCACAAAAAATACTGTAAAATGTAAGACAAAAATGGTCGTAAGCTTAGGCTAACGCACGCAGGTGTGGTTGGGGGTTCATTGTCTGGAGCAGGGGTTGCAGAGCGTATCGTATCTTGCAGGTTGTAAGCATCAAAGAGACAAGGATTTTGTTGACAAAAAGCACAGACGCTTTGGAATTACTTTTCTCAGTTTTCATACAAGCAAAATGGATTGTAAAATTAGAAATTGTTTTCCCAGATCAGTAAGTGGCAAACTTTGCATGTACAAAGTTTAGACTAACAAAGAATGCAAATGTAGTGAAAACACTTTGTACAGCGTCGAAGACAATG